TTAGCCAGGGAAAAGTTTGAAAATTCAAAAGTTCAGTGATATTGCATGTTCCAAGAGATCATAACACTCAAGTTGAGGTCATGTCTAAGAAAGATAGTACCAGATCATTCGGGGTAAACCATGCTTTCATCCAAGAAACTCTGAGAAGCCCCAATATAGAAAACCAAGAGATTGTGATGATGGCAATAAGTGACAATGCACAACCATTTTGGATATCAACCATTGTGACATACATCAAGCAAGGCGTGTTATCTATTGACGTCACCCTTGTGAAGAAAAGAGCTAGTATGTACTCTTTGATATAAGTAACCTTAAACCAAAGGGATTGTCAACCTCCTTGTTAAAGTGCCTAGAATGAGAAGACATCGCATATGTTATCGTTGAAGTGCATGAAGGAATAGTTGGACAACATTTAGGTGCTCGAGATATTGCCAAGAAAGTCCTTAGAGTTGGGTATTATTGGTCACCCAAGGTTCAAAATGATAAGGAGTATGTGAGTATATCTTATTAATTTCAACAACACAAAGACATTCATAACGCTCCCCCTTCTTTCTAAGTTACACATATTGACATCACCCTGAAATTTATCACAATAGGGAATGGATATTCTCATCCTTTTCCCTTTGGCGTCGGGACAACTTAAATTTTATATCATAGAAGTTTATTATTTTATCAAGTGGATTGAAGTAGAAGCATTCATAGAAATTGTGATAGATAACCAAACAACATTCATAAATAATAAATTCAATAAGCTTTTGTAAAACTTGAAGGTCAAGCAACATTTCACATTGGTACAACACCCCTAGAACAATAGACAAGCCGAAGCAATGAATCAAGTAGTTTTGAGATTGTTAAAGTGACTACTTGAAGCGGCAAAGAAAAATTGGTTGCATGAGCTTCCATATTTCCTATGGGCATATCGAACTACATCTCATTTGATGACCGATTAGACATCCTTTCGACTTACCTACGAGACTGAAGTCTTCATCCCTATCTAAGTAGAAGAGAAAATCTAGAGGATGATACACCCATTTATCATAAAATGATAGTGCTGAGGCGATCAGAGACGATGTAAATTTCCTAGAAGATATTAGGACTTGAGACTTCACACACAAGATGAGGGTGAATTCGAAGAACTTGTTTTTAAAAACTTTTGTGAAATTAAATTAAAGTAGAAAAGCATTTTGAAAAACTTAGCAGCGAAAAAAAAAAGCAGAAAACAGATTGTGGAAATTAAAAGAGTTTAAGGGAAAAGTAAGACACCAAGAATTATAGTGGTTTGGTCAAAACAAAAGGACATATTTCTCTCCCCAAAAATTAATCTTGAGAGTTTTCAATAATGCTTTGAGAGATTTTAGCAGGAAAGACTCATGAACCCCATTATACAAGGAATAAGCTTGAGATTAAAATGGTTAATCTTCCTTTCCAAACAGTGGATTGAAGCGGTTAGTCTTGTTTCTGCAAACAAGGACCTTTGAGCAATTAGTCTTCAAGATCCAAAATCTTTGAGCTCAATACCTTGTTTTTATATGGGATAACCAAAAATATGAGAGATTTTAACACGAGGCTAATCTCCAACCTATGAAGCTTTTAATACTGGGCTGAGCTTTAACCTTTCTTGGTTTTAACACCTGATTGGCCGATAACCTAGAAGATTTTATATATGTTGATCTCCAACCTAAACTAAGACTGAAATACCTAATCTCAAACATAAGATTTTTATGGGTTTAGCTTTAATCCAAACAAATCCCTAATTGGAAAATGTTCAACTAATGTATACACAAAAGGTTTCCTTGGTGAGTTTTACAATTCTACCCATTCCAGAATTACAAAACTAATCTCACTCACAAAAGGACTTTTCTTAGAAAATCACTTAGGCTAAAAATATAGTGAGAGAAAGTTAAAGAAATGTTTTTAGAGAGAGAGAGAGAGAGAGAGAGAGAGAGAGAGAGAGAGAGAAATGAAAGTGTCAAAACACGATTCTGGATTATATCAAATGAGAAATCACACCTCTATTTATAGGCCCGAGGTAGACTCAAAAAGGAAATCTCAATAATATAATTTTGTGATAATCTAATCGATTATCACCTTTTCCTAATCGATTAGAAGATGAAAATAATCGTTTGCAAGTTCTAAAAAAGTAAGTTTAGGATATATAGATGTTGCGCAAAATCAAGGAGCCTTCAAAATAGCTTGAGCCTTAAGTTTCCACATTTCTAATTGATTAGACAAATGTTTCAATCTATTACTTAAGTAAAAAAAAATTGTAGCTATTTTGAATGCTTCCAATTCATTTGACACAACTTCCATATGTTTTTCAAAATATTTTCTTTTAGTAAAGCAATTTGAAAATGGTTTTGTATGTGTGTGCGCACGGTTTAACCTTATATACTTTTACAATAACATCCTTTTCCAATTACTGATCATTTGTTGCCATTGTTCGAGAATGGAGATATGATGATATTAGCAAGTCATAATGAAGAACATACTAATACATTATAATACGAGAGATGAAAGGGTAGTGGGGAAAAATACAAATTCCAATAATAGTCATCCCTTATATTAAAAGCTTAGCTTCAATTTTTTTAATTTTAAAGTAATTTTTATGTAAGTTTAGAATTGGAAGTTAGATATCTTTTTTTGCCACTTTCACCTCGATTAGAATTACAAAAATTCATATATGATCAAAATATAGAACAAAGGGAAACGCGATTAAATGATTGTTTTTTTTGTAATTCTGACAGAATGTTTATATCACGTCGCCTTGATGTTTATTGCACCGCGATGGCTCTTTGAAGTTGTCTAGCACCACTAAAAGGAACGAGTGTTCCTCAATTGACTCTCTTTTGCAATTCTTTTTTGTTTTCCTTCGATTCTTTGTAGGCTGCTCCTTTCTTTGATTTTTATAGTAACTTTCATAATAAAATACAATGGAATTCACATAGTAAGGATGATTTCGACTTGGTTTGGCCTTTCCATGAATTTTTAGAATCTTCATTTAAAAACCTACAAAATAAAAATCCATTAGTAGTAAAGTTACTTAAAACTAAACTACTAAAAACATATGAAAAACTATCATTACAATCCCAAACTGAAACTTTTCTCCGTCCTCAAGGTAAATACTTGAAAAAATAGATTTTTATAAGACATTAGAATTTACATGCTTTCATAATAATTTATAAGTTAACGCTACTTACTGAAGTACTTCCATGATGATTTATAAGTTAGTTGCTTTCATCCAAATAAAAGTACATTACTTACCTAGAATAAGGATATCCTTGAACTGTTCAAAGGACACGGGTAATGAGCTCAACAATAGTAAAACCTTCTCTTTATCATCAATCTTCACCTTAATATTCTCCATATAATTAATGATCTTGTGAAATTGTCAATTTCTCCACTATGGATGTATTCTCCATATAAACAATGATTTAAGTTTTTCCCACTACGACTTCTCCCTGGCGGCATTCCTTAGAGCTTTATCCCTGAAGCACGAGATACTGACGCTTTTGACCTTATCCAGCATCTCGGTCTTCTCTACTTGTGTTAGGCATGCAGGCATCAATGTGTCACCCTTCAATGCTTTAATACACCTCTCTAGAGTTAAGATTTTTTGCATATTAATTTTCCATAATAAAAAATCATTATCTCTAAAAAAAACTTCTCGATTTTCCATTTAGAACCCATTATATTCACTTGTAAACAAAATCCCTTTACTCCACCGTTGACACCACTAGTTGTGAAATTGAAAGGTTCAATAATGCCAAGATATTTGATGTTTGAGGACAAAAAACAATAACAACTGAAATAAACGGCCTTCCACAAAATAACTCTCTTTGCAATATAATAATAACTTAACTTGACAAAAGAAGATAAAAGACAAGAAACACAAAAATTTGTTTACTCAGTTCAATCAAATGATCTACTATAGGAGATAGAACAACTCTCTAATTCACTATATTTTCAAAAGTTGTTACAAAACATTACAAACGAGTTATAAGAAAATAGTCACCTAAGTTCCCAAGAGCAAGTCCTATTTATGAATTACACAAGTCCAAAATTTTTAGAAATATTTTCCAATCCCTTAAATACCTCAAAAAAATTTCCTCAACCATTGCCTCTTTACCCTTACTAGAATTTCAACCTCTTCTCTTTGGCTTCAACCGTAAAGTCCACCAAACCCACTATCGTCCTGTGATTGTGCCAACTCCACTGACGGCCATCTCCCACTCCAGTTCTTCCATTGGCCTCTCCCGCGCCACCGCACCGGCTCCCTTACCGGCCTTTCGTGCGTCACCGCTTTAGCTTCCCTGCTATCCTTCTGCGAACCTCTTGATTGCTTTTTCTTTGTCTGATTTCTACAATTTCAAAATAAATTTGTATTCTCTTCACCACTTAAAATTTTAAGACATACTTCAACCATTTCCATCATAAACAAAAATGTACTTCCATGTAATTAATTTGGTTCTGACAGTCTTCATTTACCCTTAAATATTTGAACTACCAAGTAATCAAAGTTTACATAACTTATGTTAAAATCAAAACGTCGTGCAACTTGTTTCAGTCTGAACTTAGAATAGCTCCACCAAACACTTTATATTTTACGGTGCTAGTTTGATCTTAAGCATATTCCTATAATAAATTGAGATGGTACTTGAGCATTGACTTCAAATTGTTTAATGCATGCTCGTTTATAGCGTTATATATATATATATATATATATATATATATATATATATATATATATATATATATATATATATATATATATATATATATATATATATATATATATATATATATATATATATATATATATATATATATATATATATATATATATATATATATATATATATATATATATATATATATATATATTAAAAATGTGCTATGTTTATTATTTAATATGTTTCAAATTCGCACACTCATTGTTCTTTATTAAACATCCTTCATTACGAGTCACAACGTGATTGAAGAATCAAAGCAGTATTGGTTTGATGGAGAACTCTAACGAGGTTTCGTTAGAATCTGAATTAACTGATCTTGTAGATGATGCTGTTGACTACAGAGGACAGCCAGCCGTTAGATCCAAATCTGGTTATTGGAGATCCGCTTGGTTCATCATAGGTATTTCATTTTCTTACTATAACAAACAAATTCATCTACTTGTTTTGTTTTGAGTTTGTAAATGTTATGTTTATAGGTGTGGAAGTATCAGAAAGAATGTCATTTTATGGAATTCAAGGGAATTTGATATCATATCTAACTGGACCACTCAAACAGACCACTGCTTCAGCTGCTAAAAATGTGAATATCTGGGCTGGAACAGCTTCTCTTCTTCCTCTCTTAGGTGCTTTCGTCGCTGACTCTTTTCTCGGACGATACCGCACAATCATAATCGCTTCTCTCATCTATATCTTGGTTAGTTCTATTCTTCACTTAAGTCTCTCAGTCGTGTAAATATAAGCGTCTGTGTCGGAGTCTGAGTTTCATAGGTTATAAGGGCGATGTTTTTCATATAATAAATATATGATAACTCTGCTGGTTTGGCTCATTGTTTTGATGTTGGTCACTGGCTTAATATAAATTACAGGGACTTGGCTTGTTAGCATTATCAGCTAAGCTTACTTCCCTCACCAAATCTAAATGCCAAGTTGATACTAAATTCATATTATGCTCCCAACATTCACAAGTTATCTTATTCTTCATCTCACTTTATCTTGTTGCCATTGGACAAGGTGGACATAAACCCTGTGTTCAAGCTTTCGGTGCGGATCAGTTCGATGAAAAACATTCGAAAGAACACAAAGCTAGAAGCTCGTTCTTTAATTGGTGGTTTTTTACAATGGTTGCAGGTTGCGCAGCAACACTCGCAATCTTGAATTATATACAAGATAACTATAGTTGGGTTCTTGGATTTGGAATCCCTTGTGTCGTAATGATAGTTGGTTTGCTTGTTTTCTTGCTTGGAACAATGACATATAGGTTTAACATTAAGGATAATGGCAAGAGTCCTTTTCTTAGAATCTGTCGTGTATTTGTCGCAGCTATAAGAAATTGGCGAAACACCTTACCAAGCACATATATTGAAGAGGAATGTGAAGGAATGCTTCATCATCAAAGTTCTGATCAATTCAAGTAAGAAATACTATGCTAATTTCTGCTTGTCTAAAAATTTCCATTCTTGTTAGTAGCATTCCTAAAGCATATAAATGTGCTATAGTTCATCCATGTTTTCATATTTTTAGTTATTATAATGATCATTTTTTAGTTTTCTGAAGTGCATTATATTCATATGTGGTACATTGTAGTAATAAATTGTAGCATTGAACTTAAACTATTGTTGTTGATGCATATTAAGTCTATATATCGATCAAATTCATCCTTACAAAATTGACTTGTAAGGTGAATGTTGTCACTCTTTATAAGCTCTAAATAGATTTTTGGAGAGAAAAGTCTAGAATCAAATGGCATGATGACAGTGAGAGAATCACAACGTATTTCCACAAAATGGATATAATCAGAAACTCTACAAAGCCGATCAGTGTCGGTAGAAACGATGACCAACCCCTTACCGAGTCTGCTTAGACAATGGCTTGATTGAGGAGATGTTCTTATTTCTTGACATTCTATTGATGAAGTCTATGATTCTGTTTTTGCAACGAACGAGGATGGTGTACCAGGTCCTGATAGATTTGGTGCTTTTTCTTTCTTTTAACAATATTGATAGATTGTTGGCCAAGACCTTTTCCTAGCCACCTTGCATTTTGTCAAAACTTGTGTGATTTTACGCGGAATGAACTATAATAATGTTCATAAGTAGATAAAGTTATCTGAAAACATCAGATTCAAGGCATTTACCAAGATCCTTGTGGATAGGCTGGTTAAGATTGTGCCCAACCTCCATCACATGTCTTATATGCAAATGATTATTTTCGAAGTTACTCAAAGAAGACTTACCTCCATCAAGTGCTTATTTGACAAATATGGTACTATTTTTTGTTAGCTTATCAGTCCTAGTAAGTGAACTTTCTATGCTGGAGGTATGACTTCTGCTAAGGTCAATAGAACTTCTAGCATTCTTGGTTGTGCCTAGAAGCCTCTCTGTGATCCATTACAGGCATAGTGCAATTAGTGAAAATTGTTATCCATGGTATGCTAATCTATATGCCTTTTTTGACTTAGCTTGTATTTTCTACATTGGCAGCTTCCTCAACAAGGCATTGTTAACACCAAAGGGATCTAAACAAGAAAACAATTGTAACATTAGCGAGGTTGAAGAAGCAAAGGCAATACTAAGGTTGGTTCCAATTTGGGCTACATCTTTAGTTTACGGTATTGTTTTTGCTCAAGTTTTTACATTCTTCACCAAGCAAGGAAAATCTATGGAGAGAACAATATTTCCCGGTTTCGACATACCCCCAGCTTCACTTCAAACGGTTAACAGTCTCGCCGTTGTTCTCTTCAGTCCTATCTACGACCGCATATTTGTTCCAATAGCACGAGCTATCACCGGAAAACCATCAGGCATCACAATGCTTCAAAGAATCGGAACTGGAATTTTTATATCCATATTCATAGTGGTATTTGCGGCATTTGTTGAGATTAAAAGACTAAAAATAGCACAAGAGTATGGCCTTGTTGATGATCCAAATGCAATTGTTCCAATGAGTATATGGTGGTTGATTCCTCAATACTTTTTGTTTGGAATTTCAGAGGTTTTTACTATGGTTGGTCTTCAAGAATTTTTCTATGATCAAGTCCCAAATGAACTAAGAAGCATGGGACTTGCACTCTACTTGAGTATTGTTGGTGTTGGAAGCTTTCTTAGTAGCTTTCTCATTTCTATGATTGAAAATCTTAGTAGCAAAAATGGTGATGAAAGTTGGTTTTGTGATAATATCAATAAGGCACATCTTGATTATTTTTACTGGCTACTTTCTGGATTAAGTGTGATGGGATTTACTTTCTTCATTTATTTTTCTAAATCTTATGTTTATAATTACAAAGGTACCATCAAGATAGTCAATCGTTAGTTTTTTTTCTTATGTCATATTTGTATTGATGGTAGTTTTGATATGCATGGTACAATAATGCATGATGATGAAGTAAGGTTTAATGGTATTTTAATTTTGTTAGGAAAAAAATCAGTCCATCTATTTAACTTGCAATTGTTAGTTTCAAAGTTTCAATTGGAAACTTGGTTTTGGTGTTTTTTTCATACGTGTCCAATTTTGATAATTAAAAAGGATAAATTGATTAGAAAAATGAGAGAAATCCATCAATATATAGAAAATTTGAGGTGTTGTAAAAAAAAAGTGATTACGCACCATAACACTTAAGAATAAAGACATTATTATTAGTAATAATTTATATTTTATTATATTACTTTCTTAAGCCCATAAGCTTGTTAGAGGGTATTTTAGTATTTTATCTTATTCTAGTAACCCTAGTTTTAGCTTATAAATAGGGTGACAATCATTGTAACTCTTAACACTGTTTCTTCTGCCGTCATTCTCTTTAATAGAATATTTCCCTATTTTCATTATTCTATCTTTGCACCAACAATTGGTATCTAGAGCTCCGGTTCAGATTCATTGGAAAACACGGGAAACACGAGTGAACGTGAGGTCTTGTGTGTTTGATTTTGATTCTTAGATTCGTGTTGAATCTTGAACAAAATCTGATCAGAATTTTATTCTGTGGGTTGGGAAACACTGTGTGAGAAATCTGAGTGTATTGTGCAAAGTAGAAGATGAACGGAAACGGCAACATGAACACCAAACTTCCAGTATTTGATGGTAAAAACTGGAATCGTTGGATGATCCAAATGCGTGTACTATTTGGTGCTCAAGATGTTCTAGATCTTGTCACTGATGGTTATGTTCCAGTAGCAGCAGATGCAACCGATGAACAGAAAAACGCGCAGAAGGAAGTAAGGAAGAAGGATCAGAAAGCATTGTTCTTCATTCATCAATGTGTGGATGTAAACGTGTTTGAGAAGATTGCAGACTCTACAACAGCAAAGGCTGCATGGGACACTCTGGTGAGATGTTATGGTGGTGACGCATCAGTGAAGAAGGTGAAGCTTCAGTCCTTGAGAAAGCAATATGAGAATCTCAACATGAAGAATAATGAGAAAGTTTCTGAATACATCTCCAGAGTGATTCTGATCACTAATGAGATGAAGGCATGTGGAGAAACTCTTTCTGAAGAAACAATCATGGAGAAAGTATTGAGATCCCTTACTCCTCAATTTGATTACATTGTGGTAGCAATAGAACATTCCAAAGATCTGAGCACAATGAGAATTGAAGAGCTGCAGAGCAGTTTAGAAGCGCAAGAGTTGCGTTTGACTGAGAGAACTTCTGAAAGGGAAGTAGAGCAACAGGCTCTGAAAGCAATTTCTGATAGGAGGTATCAGAAGCAGTCAGAAGCCAAGAGAAGATCTGATGGTGGTCAGAAGTCAGAAACCTCAACCTCTGATAGACAAAAGAATGCTCAGAAGGGAAAAGAGAATTATGACAAGAAGAAGATCCAATGTTACTGTTGTAAGAAGTTTGGTCACTTTGCTAGAGATTGTTGGTCAAACAAGGAGAAGAAATCAGAAGAAGCAAATATAGCCAGAAGTTCTGATGACGAATCTGTGCTATTGATGGCCTCTGAATCTGATGATCTGACAGACTGGTGGTATATGGACACTGGCTGTTCAAATCATCTTACTGGAAACAAGAAATGGCTGGTTGACTTTGACTCTGAAAAGAGAACAAAGATCAGATGTGCTGATGACAAATATCTTAATGCAGAAGGTATGGGAAATGTCAGAGTGACTCTGAACAATGGGAAAATAGCATTGATTCAGAATGTGTGGTATGTACCTGGCATCAGAAGCAATCTAATGAGTGTGGGACAATTAATTGAGAAAGGTTTCTCAGTTACCATGAAGGACAATCTTCTGAAGCTGTATGACTGTAATCAGAAGTTGATTATGGAGTCAGAACAGGGAAGGAATAGAACATTCAAGGTGAATGTCAGAACTGCAGACTCAGAGTGTCTTAGTGCAACAAGTACTGAGAAGGAGAGTGAGCTGTGGCACAGAAGATTTGGTCATTTGAATTTCAGAAGTTTACAACATCTGAATTCAAAGAAATTGGTACATGGAATTCCTGCAATTAAGAAGCCTGAAAAGTCATGCAAAGTTTGCATGGAAGGAAAACAACCAAGATTGCCATTTGCATCAGAAGTTGCTCCAAGAGCAAAACATGCCTTGGGAGTTGTACATTCTGATGTGTGTGGTCCATTTCCAGTAGCATCAATTGGAGGGAATAAGTACTTTGTGTTGTTTGTTGATGAATTCACAAGAATGACGTGGGTATCCCTTATTAAATTTAAACATGAGGTGTTTGATGAATTCAAGAAGTTCAGAATGAAGGCTGAGAATCAGAGTGGTCAGAAGTTGAAGATTCTTAGAACTGATGGTGGAGGTGAGTATAACTCCAAAGAGTTCCAGAAGTTCTGTGAGGAGAATGGAATTGAGCATGAGGTTACTGCTCCTTATACCCCTCAACACAATGGTCTTGCTGAAAGAAGAAATCGTACTTTGCTTGATATGGTGAGAAGCATGCTAAAGGAGAAGAAGCTTCCTCAGAAGCTCTGGGGAGAAGCTGTTGCCACTGCAACGTATGTACTCAACAGATGTCCTACGAAGAAGTTGAAGGAAATAGTTCCTATGCAGAAGTGGACTGGAGACAAGCAAAGTGTTAGTCATCTGAAGGTATTTGGTTCTGTTTGCTATAAACATGTTCCAGAAGCCAGAAGACAGAAGCTGGATGATAGAAGCAAAGTGATGATTCTGATAGGGTACCACAGTACAGGTGCATACAAGCTCTATTGTCCAGAAACCAATAAAATTGAATTCAGCAGAGATGTGATTGTGAAGGAATCAGAAGTTTGGAATTGGGATAAGTCTCAATCTGATTTTGATGTTAGAACCTCTGAAGAAAGGCCAGAGTTAAGAATTTCTGAAGTTGAAGTAAACCCTGATATTGACTCTGACTCTGATACTGATTCAAACTCTGAAGAAGACTCAGAAGATGAAGGTGACCCAGATGACCCAGACTCTGATGATTCAGACTCTGATGGCAATCCAGATCTTGGTGGCAATTCAGACTCTGGAAATATGCCAGACTCTGAAGATGGTCAAAGCTCTGGAGGTCAATCATCTGAAGCTAGAAACTCTGAAGCTCAAGACTCTGAACAAGTTCAGAGACCACAAAGAATCAGAAGCGTTCCCAGAAGATTTGCAGAATTTGACATGCTGCAAGACACTGAAGTAGACTCTGAAGGAGAAGTTATTCAGTGTGCCATGTTAGTAGACTCTGAACCTATAAGTACAGAGGAGGCTCTTAAGCAGAAGCTCTGGCTGAAGGCCATGAAAGAAGAACTTGATGCTATAGAGAGAAACAAGACTTGGAAGCTGGCAGAACTTCCAAAAGACAAGAAAGCCATCAGCGTCAGATGGGTTTTCAAGCAGAAGTTAAAGCCAGATGGCTCAATTGGCAAACATAAAGCAAGGTTGGTAGCCAGAGGATTTCTACAGAAACCTGGGCTGGATTATTCTGAAGTGTTTGCACCTGTAGCAAGACATGAAACAATCAGAATGGTGATTGCAATAGCTGCTAACAGGAATTGGCCTCTGATGCATTTAGATGTAAAATCTGCATTTCTGAATGGTCCATTAGAAGAAGAAGTTTACGTGTCACAACCTCCTGGATTTGTGAAAAAGAATCAGGAAGGGATGGTGTACAGATTATACAAAGCTCTATATGGATTGAAACAAGCGCCCAGAGCTTGGAATCAGAAGATTGATTCATTTTTCAAGAAGCAAGGCTTTCAGAAATGTGAGATGGAGTACGGTGTCTATGTTCAGCATACTTCTGAAGGCAATATGACTCTGGTATGTTTATATGTTGATGATATACTATTGACTGGAAGTTCTGAACAGGAGATAGCCAAGTTCAAGAAGGTTCTAATGAATGAATTTGAAATGACTGATCTAGGCAAAATGACATACTTTCTAGGGATGGAGTTCAGATATTCTGAGAAAGGTATCATTTTGCATCAGCTCAAGTATGAATTAGAACTTCTGAAGAGATTTGATCTGAAGAATTGTAAGATGGCTGTCACACCTTCTGATACAAATCAGAAACTGGATTCAGACTCTGAAGGAAAGGATGTGGATGCTACAACCTTCAAACAGTTGGTTGGTTCTCTGAGGTATCTGTGCAATACCAGACCTGATATTTGCTACTCAGTTGGGATGGTTAGTAGGTTCATGAGTAAACCTAAGTGGTCCCATTACCAAGCTGCTGTCAGGATTCTGAGGTATATCAAAGGAACTCTGAAGTATGGAGTGTTATTTCCCTCTGGAGGAAATAATGAGTCAGAACTCCTGAGTTATTCAGACTCTGATTGGTGTGGAGACAGAGTTGACAGAAGAAGTACATCTGGGTACTTGTTCAAATTTCTGGGAGGTCCCATTTCTTGGTGTTCCAAGAAGCAACCTGTTGTGGCGTTGTCAACCTGTGAAGCTGAATACATTGCAGGTGCTGTTACTGCATGCCAAGCTGTGTGGATTCTGAATCTGTTGCAGGGTCTGAAGATTAAGGTAGACAAACCTCTGAAGTTGATGATTGACAACAAGTCTGCAATCAACCTTGTCAGAAACCCAGTGCTGCATGGGAGAAGCAAGCATATTGAGACCAAGTATCATTTTCTGAGACATCAAGTTCAGAGTGGAGTGTTAGAAGTTGTACACTGCAGCACTCAGAAGCAGTTGGCAGATGTTCTGACGAAAGCTATCAAGACTGATCAATTTCTCAGATTAAGGGATGGAATTGGTGTTACAAGTTTTGATGGAATATGAATTAAGGGATGGTATTAGTAATAATTCATATTTTATTATATTACTTTCTTAAGCCCATAAGTTTGTTAGAGGGTATTTTAGTATTTTATCTTATTCTAGTAACCCTAGTTT